CTGTCATCCACTTTCAACTCGAGAACCGGGAAAGCTAGAAGACTGAAACTTAGGGAGTGTTTGCCCACGCCACATGCGACCCTCCCATTTTAATATCATCACCCGCGTACACTTGAATGCAACGTGCCTTAAAAAATATGCAGATTTTTTGGGGGAAAACGATCTCGGGAACCAAAAAGGATGGAGAGCTGAAACTTTTGGAGGAAAATTCTGTGTGCATGTGTGAGCTAAAGATTTCAAATCCAGCCCCTAGATGCGTGTGGTTCTTACGTACGGACACTCGAAAGTTATGGCAAGTAAATTACTAACTCCAGAATCAGAAAATCTAGAGACTGGAATTTTAAGGGAATGTTCCCTGTCCAACTTAATTGTTTCAGATTTAGTCTACATGTATGCGTGTTTCTCAGGCACGGGCACTTAAAATTTCTGGTGGGAAAATTGTTCACTGAATAGTTAGTTCGATTTCAAAGAACAACCGTTAAAGGGAATTTGTTCATTTCCTTTATGCAAAATTTACGATAATTTACGCTAGTGAGCGCAAAAGCAGATATATAAAGCAATAATCATTCATGTAGCCCACGACCTGAGTGTACTTCAAGTCTGGTGCAAAAGTGTTGATCGCACCGTCAAACCTGGTGCATTCCAGCCTTGGTTATATTTTAGATTGGTTCGATCGTGGATTGCACACCTCCAGTTAATGCCTGCGTTTCGGTTTGTGCACCATTTTAAAAATCGCTCAGTTTGGACGGCCATTTTTTTCCCTTTTAGCTACGACTTATTGATACCCGAGCCTATTGCTTATCAACAGGGCGAAAAACATGCCTTACACATCGAATGATTTTGCTTTATTGCATAGTCGTAATGATATCCTGCACGCCGCTGACCCGTGGAAGGCTTATTTGCCTTGACTGTGGCGGATAGAGACGTCAAGCATTCTTCGCTCCATTGCTTTTTTTTTTAATTTGTAATTTTTATAAAAAAAAGCTTGTATTTTACTTCTGGAGTTCCATCATGTTCCTCAGTTTTAGACTGAAACTCGAGAGAGCAGCTCAAGCGATGGTTTTGTTATTGCTGGAGGCTCGATACAGGTTTGTTTTTTTTTTTATTTTTGTTTGTTTTTGTTTATTCCCACGATTTTGTTTAGGGTAGTCGGTACGAACCCGCAATTTTCATTAACGGTAAGCCGAGTACAGCTTTTTCGGGTTTTTTCGCTGTGAAATTTTACGAAAAATGCATAAATTTCAAAAAAAAAGTGTATTGTAATCAACCGGGGAGTATTAAGTTGCGAAATTTGTTGGTTTTTGCTTTCTTGATGCTTCAAAGCTCATTGTATTTCTTGTAAAACTGTCCGTTTCGGCGACTGGTGAAAAATTAAGCCACATTTGATTAGGTGATTTTGCTAGCTCCCTAATTTACCGGATTCGAGCCATTTTGAAAAATCGCACTTTCCAAAATATGTTTAAAAACCGAATTCATGTGACCTAAGGTACGAAATTTAGAACGTTTCGGGCAGTTATTCTGATCGGTACTTGGCCGAAAGAAAGATAGCCAGCAGCTGGAGAAAATTGAAATAAAAAGGTATTTTGAAATGGAAAGGAGAGTCGAAGAAAAAAATAATCTTAAGAAGTTGGTAAAAAAGTAACAAAATTATTTTTAATGAATTTATGATAATGGTAAGAAATGTTTCGGTGAAAACTGCAGGAAAAGGCGATTAGAAAAATAAGGAGAATTTTGGGCTAATCTGCTTGCTCCATATTTATAAGCTGTTCGTGGAGGTTACTGCCGATTAATTAACGGGGTTTCTGGATGAAACGGCGGCCAAGGGATTAAGCCTATAAAATTAGAAGAGTTGATTATTCATTTGGCTTTTTTTTCGAATTCAGTTTATTACAAATTATTCAGAGCTCCATGAAAACTCGTCCGACAACTGCCGTCAATTCTCGAAATGTTCTTTCGGTACCACTGGAATATCTTGCCAGTTTCAGCAGCAAGTAATAAAATTTGGGTGGCAAGATGGAGAGGTTTTTTTTCCAGTTTTTGTTAATTTTAACAAACGCTTTTCATTTTTCCCTCCAACGCAAAAAAGCATGCTACAAGTGAGTAAATTTCACATGTTAGATCATAGAAATATTTTTTACAAATTTTCAAATTTCAAATAAAAATTCATTTCAAGTTATTTTTTTTTACTTGATTTTTTTAATTACGTATTTTTCGTTCCAAAGTTCTTTTTTTCTAAATTTAGGCATGGTTTTTTTTGATTTCAAATCCGACAAATATATTTTTATTTTTTACTTTTTTTTTTAATTCAGTTTATTTCATAGTCTAGCTCCCGATTTATGCAACTTCGTCCCA